AATAATGTATTATATTGATTTAATATAGAAATGATAATATTTCAGATATAGTAGATTAATGGACATATTATCACAATGCATTTCATCTTTTTTTTAAAAAGTGGCCAGTAACAAATTTTTAATAACATGTGTAACTTTTATTATATTTCTATTGGATGGTGTTATTCTAGTTGACTATAACCAGAGATCGCTGGTTAATGTTGAATTTATCTGTCACAGTGAAAACTGAAGAATGACGTTGTTACTCAGAGAGAGAAAATCTAGTTTTGAAGTTTCTATGCCCTTATCTGACAATATTTAGACTCAGCCTGACTCTGCACATGTTGCATATTATAATTCACATAAGAATTTCGGTGATCACATTCCCCGAGCTACAGAGGGAGACTGTGGCCTGTCCGGGTTTTGAGACATGGAGGTAATGTGGCCGCTCTTCTGCTGCTCATCTCCTTCCCTGAGAGATTCCTGGGGCTCCCGTCCCTTTAACCAGTCATGCTCTGCAGCAGGTGGCGTGATCGCTGCAGCCTGATTTTCTCTTGTACACCAGGCTCCCTCCTGCTGTCACTTCTGGCTACTCAGCGCCCATTGAAAGAACTGGGAGTTTTCTGGCAGCAGCATGTGAATAGACTTAGGAGGCTGGATTCACTCAGGTCATCCTTGCTCATCACCAGCCCCAACATTAGGAGTCGTTTTGGGCTGATTCATTAAAATAAAATGAATTGTTATAGGTCTTAAAGTTTTGATCTCATCACTTTCAGAATACATATAAAAGTCAGAGAAGTCAGACATCCAATACAAGTCAAGAGACAACTTAGATTTCTTAGAACGTGTATCTGTAAATGCTAAAGGAGCTGCACTTACAATAAAACGGCCGTTAATTGACCCCAGCACCTCATAGCCGTCATCTACCCGCTTCCTCCCAGGTCCAGCCAGTCCTGGCAGTTGGCTCCTCCATCCCTTCCAAATCACCTTCCAGAGGAAGGTTTTTTCTGTTTCTTGCCTTCCCCCCACCCCCATCCTTTGCAATGTAAATCATCTAAGCCTCTATCAATAGAATAAGACCAGGAATGAGGCTCCAAAACTAGGATTCACCTAGGAGAGAAGGAAGGGCCTGTCTGAGGCACACGTTAATTTTTATTTTCTGTTGCACTAAGAAAAAAAGCTGATGTACTCTAATTTCTTTCTCCCCAGAGACACTTTTTTCAAAACTTAGGATCTATTTTGACATATGCCTTCTTGGGAACTGCCATCTCCTGTATTGTCATAGGGTAAGTGACATGTGGAACTCTCTTTCCAGGAGGCTCTGGGGGCTGTGATCTGTGAGAGGTATCTCACACTTTCTGGATTCATGCTGGCTAAATAATTGTCTATTTTCCCAGTACATCACATCTTTGAACATTTTTATGACTTAATTCCAAGGCATACACATCTTCTGACACACATAAGGCTTCAAATCAAAGCAAACTAGAGGATTTGGGGATTTTCTCTGTGAGTCTTGGACTACTTCCGGCTTGGGGAATGTGGTTGGCTTGAGCTCTGTGAATCACATTGTGTTCTTTTTCTTGTTTGGGTAATACAGACAGGCCTGTTGAGTTCTTTCCCCATCTTCTTCTCAAGACTCTACCTGTATTTGACAGAGGTACGCTAGTAACTATCTGTCAAGGGTTTTCTTCCTGTGGAAAATATAGAGAGAGCAGTCTAGAACCTACAAGGTCAAATATCAGCAGAGCTATTTAAGGCCTGGATGGCTTTTTGCTCAATACCCTGTAGAGTGCAGACTTGTTTTCCTCCTCATCATATTTCCTTGCTTATGCTACTGAGCCATAAGTCAAACTATACAGACTGGCCTGCAGCTCATCACAAAGCAAAATGTGGTGTGAATGGAGATGCCAATCCAATTCACTTATAATCCTACCCAGTGCATTAAACCTCCAGCTGGGATGACTGTATGACATAAACGTCTTAACTTGTCTGATATAGTTAGCTCTCCCTTTGATTTTTACTGCATGCAGTGATTATAACTCTAACATTAGAAAGTGGTGCTAAAACACACGCTGGCCATGCTTCCAGCCCTCTTTTATGATTGGTTAGTGCATGTCAATTGAAGGAGGGGTCAGGTGGGATCTTTATTTTACCTGTAAAGCTGGGGTATTTTACATTGAATATTCTGAGTTGAGTCTAGAATAATTTGGGCTACATTATATGAAAATATCCAGCATGGTTAAGGGAGTGAGGAAGCTAAAGCCTTTAGCCCCTGAAAGTAGAGGCTTACATGAGTGTAAATCAGGGACACGCCATGTCTGGACATCCACGTGGCCTTTGAACTGAGTGACCTGAGAGACACTAGGTACTTGATCCTTCTCAAGCATGTTTGCAGGGGTGAGGGGGCACTTTTCTGTTCTGTGAGTGTGCAAAATTTAGACATTCCCATTTCAAAACTGGCAGGGGCCTCAGAGATCTGTGTAATTAAAGCCCCTAATTCTGAAGGCGAGAACTCTTGAAATGCTTGTTAATTGGCTCAGTCCTCCCACCTCTGGGAAGCAGGGCCCTGGTCAAGACGAATTCAGAGCTTTGGCTCCTGACACAGCTGGTCGTGCCATTGCCCTTATCTTTTAGCAATTTCTCTTAAGTTCCCATATATCCCCACACAGCCCTCTCTACATGGACAGAGGGCTCTCAGACGTGTGTGCTGCAACCAATGTTCCTTTGTTTATGGCAAAGACTGATGGTAGCAGTTCTATAATAGGGGGATCTGAAATTTATAACGGCTCCAAATTCCAAACTCTTGGATGATGGTGCCAAATTATAGAATTTGCCAATCTTTATTGTTGTCCTGTGTCCTTCTTTTAAATATTATTTCATACACTGTTGTATTGTTTAACTTTTTTAAATTTCAGGTTAATGTGAAGATACAACCAAGCAGGTCACAATATTTGCATTTATTAGGCAAAGTCCCTCTTGTAGTTGTGTCCCACTCCTAAAAGTGTGCCCTATACCCCTACATTGTGCCCATTAAGTGGGAGCCCATCAATGTGTCCTTTATTTGACTGAGTTTAAGTAGATGAGTTGGAAAGTGATTTGAATAAAAGTGCATTCCCGAGAAAACTTTTAGAACTCTGTTCTTCGTTTGAACTGGGTATATTCTGAGTGACACAAACTTGTGGGGTGCCTTCGTAATGTGGGTCATTAAGAAGGAGAAGGGATAGATCTATTAAATATTTTAAGACCTTGTCTAGGGAAATCATGAATAGTGTTAGTGGTTGTGCAAAGGGGAAATCTTTTTTTTTTTTT